ACAAGTACACACACACACACACACACACACACACACACACACACAGTACAGTATCTCATCTATGCCGTAAGTGCACTGATACGCCACACAATAGCCACTGCAGCTAAGCACAATCAGTCTCATTGATCCGGTTAACCGGTTCGGTTATCACCAAAAAAAACCCAAATCTGTTCAAAAAGTGCTACAGAGTGGTCCGAATCCCGAACCAGTTTTATGGTGATTTGTCGGCCGTTATAGATTCTATACAATGGTTTTGATGAAGGGGAGACCGAGGCAACTCGCGACTTTGAGGAAAAAAAGCCCATCCTGTTAGAATTTGAACTTTGTCAACTTGTGCAAAAAACAGCAGTCTAAAGACGAAAAATGCGATCATAGGACACCAAAACCTTTACCCCATGCCATAAAAGAAGGAAAAATTTGCTCACCCCGACAGAATCAAATGAATTCGAGAGGCAGTGCGCATGTTTGCCATGGGGCTACTGGATTCGTAATCGTGAGGTTGTGGGTTCGGACAAAGATAGTGTCCTCTCTTCTCTTTTGAGCCAAATAAAAAAGTGTCCTCAAAATTCGGTGGTGCCCTCTTCTTTTATTTTTTTAAAAAAGTTTCACGGCGCTGACAACAGCATAAGGTCATATATATGAGCGCGCGGGACCCATTCAACTTTTTTCAGTTGGTAGGAAATTTTGAATTTTGCCCAGATGGCGACCGAAGCCTATTCTTATCGATTTTAGACCAACAAAGGATCTTTAACGCGCGCAACTTGCACACGGGCCCTACGAGATTTTTCGACCTTTTCCGATAAGGCTAGGAGTAGATCTTTCCTACCAGAAGATCAGGGGTGTGGCTGAAAGACAACAGTAAGAAAGAGCCAAGGATTAGCAGTAGAAAGGCTGCAGAAAAAGTCACGAGCCCAGAGGAGGGGACAAAGGAGGTGAGGGGGTGGTGGCAGAAAGAGGAGACGAAAGCAGACGACAGAACATTGCTAGAGAGCAGGAAAGGAGGTGAAAGGATACAATTTTAATTTTAGAGAAAAAAAAAATTTCGGTCGATACCCGGATTCGAGCCCGGGCCCATTGAATGAGAGGCCAACACCTTAACCTCTAGGCCACGAGAGCCCCGGTGCTCTCTTTGAAAAAGCGCGGATTTGCAAACAGAGTTACCATACTTGTGTGAAAAACAATAAAAGTGAAACTAAAAAACTGTGCTATTGATTTTAATGATTGAGTCGGTGTTTACGGCACTTTCGGCTCAATTTTGGTCATGTAAGTGCCAACAGTACTATTCCTATTCTTCTTCTGGAGAAATGAAAGAGAGCTTCAAAACAAAGACTGCGGCGCCATCTAAAACCAATGCGCAGACTTCCGCTGACATTTTTTTGGCTGAGTGATCTATCTTGTTATGTACGATCTTTAAAGCTCGGTCTGGCGTTGTGTTCTTATGGAAAAAACCACTTCCAACGACATTTCCTATTATATTCAGCTTGGTCCTATAGGGTGAGGACGTTAAATTCGGAGCTTCCCATCTACAAAATAATCTTATAGTTGCAACGTGAAAAAGGGTGTTACACCTATATAATTTCACTCATTTTTCGCTCATGCGAAATTTGTTAAAAATGGTCAGTTGGCCGGTCTTGGTAAACACTTTTGGCTTTATACGAACACATGATTAGTAAAATTAAGCCATCTCCACAATTAATTCAGAACGCCGACTCTTTTCCTCCGGTTCACCCAAACCGAGTACCGGTATAGCCCACCCAAATCCGGATGAGCAGGAGTCGGGTTCTCCCTCCAGCCCCGCTATCTCCGCACCCCCCGTGCGTGTTGTGACAACATTACATTGTCGTCTCTGATGGTGATGGCCGCTGAGCGATAAAGTTATTTCTATTGTCTCACAAAAACGTGCACACCTGACCATGAGTCACACACTGTGTCCACATACTGGGCTACTGGTCAGACAGACGACATACACACTGGTCAGACAGACAACATACCCACTGGTCAGACAGACCACACATCTACTGGTCAAAGACAACATATACACTGGTCAGACAGACGACATACACACTGGTCAGACCGA